GACTCCAACTGCTGACAACTGACCCACATAACGAACAAACCAATGCTGTCGAGTGATACCCATCAACACTGATGATCCATATTCGTTTTATACAGATTTTCAACATACATTGGCTGTTTTCAGTAAATGATTACCATAACACACTTTCACACACATACATTACCCTTGGGTCTGGGACACGGAAGAGTCCATCACTTAAAATTACAGCCACCCTTTTGCTTAGTCTGTAAAGGGCTGATTTCTTGGGAATCCAAGGTCAGTAAGGTTGGTCGTTACCTTGTTCTCTGAAAGGCAAGTGAAGCAAACGGGCTGAGCACAGCAGGACAGCAGTCTTCGAGTCTTCAGAGAACTCATGGTGGACTATTAACTTGACTGTAGGGCCCAGCAAATGTTCCAGGTTCTTAGGATACAGGAGATATTTTTATCACAGTCCAGCATTGCCTAATCTCCTAATCATTTATTTTAAACAGCTGCATAGCAGCAGCCCATGGGTGGAAGCCCATCACAGCTCACCCATCAGTCTCCTGTTTTGGATATTTTAGCATTCTTAAGAATTCTGTGCTTGTAGGCACGCTGAAAAGATCCATTTCTTTCCTGTAAACCGTTACGTGCAGGGATCCCACAGTCAGCCCCACGGTTTGCATGTGTTCAGACTTCTGAATGTACAATATGCCAATCACTTGACTCCCAGAGAGGCTGAGCAAAGTTTAGTTCCTCTGGCAGAGGTGAGCAGTGTCTGGGAAGATAAACAGTAGCCATGTAGAGAAGCCTGGGATGGGCGGGGCGGGGCTTCCTGGGAGAGGAGTGAAAGTTTGCTCAGAGCAGCAGATGTGGGGACAAGGACAAGTGGCCACCAAGGGACAAGTCGAGAAAGCTCTGCAGAGCTGGTGAGCTGACTGAGGTGGGGACAGCAGTGAGGAGCCGGAGCTTCTACACTGTGTCTGCCACGCCAGCTTATCACAGAGAAAATACACTGTGTATTTATAGAGGCAATGACGGGGCAGATGATGGTCACAGACTTCTATAACGGACAAAGTGTTTTATCCATTTATTTAATTTGTGTGTGTGTATGTCTGTGCTCGTACATGTGTATGTGGATGCATGTTCATGTGTATTCCAAAGGGTCTCTTACTGCCCTGGTGCTTGACAGCCAGGCTAGGCCAGCTGACTGGTGAACCCCAGAGATCCACCCATTTTTGCCTCCCGAGCCCTAAATTACAAGCGCATACCACCATGCCTAGCTCTTTTACTGGGTTCTGGGGATCAAACTCAGGTCAAACACTGCAGTAAGTCACCTCTCCTGCTCCCAAGTGACATAACAATGCATTGTCAACCAGGCTGCGGTGGGATTAAACCCAGAGCTTGTGTTTGAGGCTGTAAGTGCCAGTGGGCACCACAGACAGTAGTTCAGGAGTGAGTGCCCTGTGGGCTCCAGAGTCGGTACTTCTGAAAGAGCTTGGCATGTGAGCTGGTATATATGGGAGCCTTCTGGTTCAGATCTCTTGAGATCCAGTTTAGGCCTTGCCATTTCTAAAGTATGAACCGGGTCCAGTTTCTTAACTGCCTTTCTCCCCATCAGAGGGTGGCACAGTCGCTGTCTGGCCTGCAGAGTTACGTTCTCAGTCTGTGACAGAACACTTGGCAAAAGCCACTTAAGGAAGGAAGGATTGATTTGGGCTCATGGTTGAGAGGACACAGTCCCTCATGGCGGGGAAGGCATGGCTGTGGGCAGCCCCATGGCTTTGGGAGACTGAAACGTCTGCTTGTCATATGGCGCTGCCCAAGGAACAAAGGTGGCTCAGGTCAGAACCGAAGCCAAGTTACAGCGGTCCAACCCTGCTGCTACAGCCTTACGTATTCCAACCAGGGTCTGCTAGGTAGGCCCTGTCCAAAAGGATTCACCACCCCTCAAAACAGCTGGGGCCCAACTGTTAAAATCCCAGAGTCCCTGGGGGGTACATACAAGCTGCAGCAGGGTTCATTGTTGTGAGGGCTGAGGTAACATTGTGACTGGCCTTTCTAAGGTCCTCAGTATGAAGGGGCCTTGTTTGGGCCTGTCTGCAATAGCAGTGACCTAGAGACCATTTAAAGAAAAACACAAAAACACTAGTCCTGTTTGCCAGACTGGAAGAGAGAGAGGGATAGAATAAAGAAACACACTGTGGAACAAAGCAAAGGAAGAGCCCTGGGGTCTCTGAACCTAGGAGTTCCCAAGGCCCCTCAGAGGCTGTGCAGGGTATGGAGGCCAAGTAGGTGAGGGGAGATGGCCTGACCTCCTGGAGATGGGAGACACTGGCACAATCCAGAGGGGCAGAGTCAGGTTTACTGCCAGGAACATGGGCCCCTGGGCTGAATTTCAAGCCAGTGGTCAGTGGTCCACCTGGTCTCCCTGACCTGAGCAGGAAGGAGTAGTGCCAGCCTTGTCTGGCTGGGAGAGAACATTCTTACCTCCCAGGGAGCCCTCCACGGCACCGGCACCCCCCTCATCTCTCCCCCTGCGTTTTCATCTCCTCCCCCGCACCTCCTGTGATTTCTCCCTTCCAGCACCTCAGCTGGTGTGAGCTACAGGCTGTGGGGTGAAGCGACACCACCAGCTTCCCCAGCCCTGTCACAGTCCCAAAGACTGAGGCTGCGGTCCGCGTACACGGGGTCCGGGGACGGAAGAGAAGACAAGGTTTACCTGTGGCTATTTCTCAAAAAAAAAAAAAAAAAAAAAAAAAGTTGCTCACGTGCCCAGCTCCAGCCTTGGCTCAAGCGGTGTTGGTGTGAGACAGCCCTTCCCAGAGCCACAAGGCTCAGGGACAGGCATGTATTCAACATGTGGCAGGGACATGCCCAGCTTCTCACACGTACATGTGGACCAAGATCTGGGGTGCCAACTCCTCATCGCTGAGCTTCCCCCACCGCCGGGGTGCTCTCTGGAGACGTGTTATGTCGCTGCTGTGCGCTGACTGTTCCAGACAGCTCAGGGGAGGCTGTGGGGGCGGCTGGCACACCAGGCTTAGGCAGCTAGGGCCTGCCAGCTTCTGCCTTTTCGGGAAGCCCACGCAGGCGCTTCCGCTGGCCTTCAGGGACAGATTTCCTGTTGGAAGGGTGGTAGCCCTTGTACTTCTGCCTCCAGAGAGGAAACTGCAAAGCCAGACATGTGTTTGTGTCCACTGAGCAGGACAAGAGGCCACGACTTGTCCTTTAAGCGGACTCAAGCTCCACAGCACAGTTTGGGCCGCATGTGCTTGGTTTTGGAGGGCGCTATGTGTTATCTCCAGGCCGGCTCTGAATGGCTCCTTGTGTGTTGGGAACTTGCACTGATCTTCAGCGAAGGGAGGCTGTTGCCCTCGTGGTAGGGTTGTGAGCTAAGTAAGATGTACTCATTCAATACCACACAACTTTGTAAGGAGACACTTCATGTATCAGATATCGGTCTGTGTGCTCAATACAATTGTCCAACAGATGGCGCCAGAGTGTCTTGAGGAAGGGATTCTTATTTGCACGAAGTGCCCGCCTGGATGGGCTTTTGGTAACCCTGCTGAAAGGGCAGAGTCAGTTTCGGGAGAATTTTTGCAGGTAGCATACCTATGGGCAAATCACAGCCAGTTCTAGAGCCGGCTCGAGCAGCAACCCCCATAGTTTGTCGCTAGGAAGGTTTTTTCCACGTTGGTCACTCTTCTTATCCAATTCGACTTTCTCCACTCTCTGTCTCTGCTCTCCGTGGGCTCTGAGCCAGGCCAGGGATGAGAGGCGCATTGTGTGTAAGGTGGGGATGCACTGGTGCTGCCGTTATGTCTCATACTGTATTTCCAGGCTTAGCTCCCATTGCATCCTGCATGGTGAACAGGGAGAGCTGGCTCCAGACTATCACCAACCCAGGGCCATGCTCCACCCATACAGAGAAGAGACTTCCCAGTCTCCAGAACCCTGGGCTTCTCAGCTATTGGTTAAAATGCCTGCTACCCAGCAGGCACAGCTCACTTTGTGGCTGGACATCTCCATTCTCATCTGAGGACTGGAGTACCCGAACACACACATAGAGACCAGGGAACAGTTGAGGGTGGTGGCGCACACATTCAATCCCAGCACTTGGGAGGCAGAGGCAGGAGGATCTCTGTGAGTTTGAGGCCAGCCTCGTCTACAAAGCAAATACCAGAACAGCTTGGGCTATTATACAGAGGAACCCTGTCTTGAAAGGAAAGGGGGGGGGGAGCCAAACTTAGCTGTCATCTGTTTTGTGTGGGCAAAGAATGATGGATACATGTATAAATGATTGAAGCCAAAGGAAGAACAACACTCATGCTACACAAAATTCTGAGATTCCAATGAAGTATCAAAAAATAAAAACCCTTTACTGGGACACTGTTGTGCCCATTTTGTTCATGTAGTCTGGCCTGTAGCTGCTTAAACTTTTAAAGGGCTTCATTGAGGTACAGTGTACACCTGACAACTTAGTGCAGTTCGATGGAAAGATATATAGCTGTATAACCACTACCACCTGCAAACTGTTTCCGTCATCCAGAAAGTTCTTCAGGTTTCTTTATGGCCATCTCTCCTCCCCTACCTCTGGTCTAACGCATATGGTTGAGTTTGTGCCTGAGCAACAGGGCTGAGTCATTATATCAGAGATGAAATGGCCTACAAACGCCTAAAATACATCCAAACGGGCACTTTCTAGAGAAGCCGACTGACATCACATAGGGCAGGGGAAGCCACTGTGTGTATTGAGAAGAACCTTGAGTCCAAAGCAAGAGATGCATGGTTCACAGCTGAGCGTCCTGCGTGGGTCACCCCACCCTCTGAAGCTCTGGTTTTGACCTTTTGGAGCCAGTGTTGAGTGTCTTCTTTCTTGTCCCATAATCGACAGTAACAATAATGACAGAAATGATGAGAAGTCACTATCGTCTGGACATCCGTGGGAAGGATGGACGGTTCAGTAGCTATGTATGTGTCTATAATTTTCTCTTCTCGGGACCCTAATGAGGCAAGATTTTCTCTGTCCTTGTTCCCAGGAAACAGGTATGAAATCAAGGTGTACACTGGCGACGTGATGGGTGCAGGGACAGATGCCGATGTCTTTATCAATATCTTTGGAGAGTACGGAGACACAGGTAATGGTCTGAATCATTTCCTCACAAGTTGTGTCCAGCACGGCTTCCTAGAGCAGCTTGTGTCGTAGAATCCCAGTCCCTCCCCTTTTGGTCCTTCTGTTGAGTGTCTCTCTTGTGCTGTGATTTGCCATGGTTTGTCCTGAATAGTAGGGTGTCTTGTGAGGTCAAATGTATATATGTGTCATAGGTTTTCTTTCTTTTTTTATTGTTTTTCTTGAGCTATACACTTTTTCCCATAGAAGGGGAGAGAGAAGGAAGGAAGTGGTGTGATAGATTTTCAAATCTCTCTGTCTCTGTCTCTCTCTCTCTCTCTCTCTCTCTGTATGTGTGTGTATGGTGTGTGATATTCAGAATAAGTTATGCCTGGCTTTGTACGGATTGAAATTGAATAAGCTCAAATTTCCCATCTTTAGGAATGATTCTCACTTAATTTCTCTATTGCCATAAGCTCTGTGCTTCTGTGGGTTGCAGTGGGGCATAGTCTAATTTAGTGTAGTCAAGAAGGATGGCCCAGAGTGGGGCTAAGGGACGGAAGAATGCGTGGTGATGCAGAACTGCACATAGATACAGTTGCAGGTTCTGGGAAGAAGTTCAGGTCACAGGCTGAGACCGGCGGTTTGCTCTCCCTTCTGCCAACTGAGAGTAACACAGGAGCCAGAAAAGCTACAGAGATGTGTGAATTTGGGGTAGAATACATCAAAGGATTCATATGGATTGCTGAACTTATAAGGAAGAAAAAAAGATCACTGCAGGTGCCAGGCATGAAGGAGAAACTCAATACCTGAGTATTAGCTATGGATTGATACCGTGGCCCTGAGAAGGAGGAGGGGTCACAGTCATCAATCTAGAAGACAGGTTTTTGTGCTCATTGGGGGTCAGAAAAGAAGGTGTAGGTCCTGAATGAGGCAAGAGATTTGAAATTAGGACCACACATGAAGTCAGGGGCCCCTGAGTCACAGGAAGAGGTTCAGTGAGAAGGCAGAGCAATAGCTCATTGGCACAGTCATCGCGTCCCTGTTGGAACTCAAAACTGAAAACAAACAAAACAACACTGAAAACCTATGCTGCACAGAGACTTGAGGTCCGACTGTCACACTAGACATGTGATTTCAGAACTCTTCTCTTCCCACACAGAGTATTTGGTTCAAAACGGGTATGATGGCACACGGCTTTGATTCCAGCACTCGGGAGGAAGAGGCAGGCTGATCTCTGTGAATTCTAGGTCAATTTTCTCTACATAGTGAACTCCAGGTCAGTTGGGGCTGCATGAGACCCCGTCTCAAAACAACAACAGCAAAACCAAATTAGAATACTTGATTCATAGCAAGTAAATCTCCATTAGCGTTCTGCAAAAACCTTTCTAAGACTATATGAGATTCCCACAGAGAAAGCGTTGGAGCGAATTTGTTTTCCAAAACAATAAGACTCTTAAGTACACAAATCCACCATGATAAAGCCGCAAACCACACAGCAACCAGAATGAAATCTCCAGGGTTTTCGGATAATGGAGTGATGTGGGCTAGCCTATAACTTAAGGTATTTTAAAACTATTAACCGCGTGAAAGAAAGAACTGAGGAAGGTACAGCACCATCAAAGACAACGCATTAGGAAAAATAAACAAACCCACAGGAAATGAAAACAAGGTTCATAAAGATAAGCATCTTTGCAGGTGAGTTAAACAATGCCATTACAGATGCTGAGGAGATATTTAACTGTAAGTATATGAGCAAAACCCTCAGAAGGAGCACGGAGAGACAGGGTTGGGAAGGAGGCAGGAGGAGCCATGAGAGCAGGGGAGGGAGGGAGGTCTGCTGGAGGTTGAGTAGGCGTTCTAGAAACAGAGGATACAGGTCACAGGAGAGAGGAGATTTTTCAAAGAGCTAATGGCTGAAGGTTTTTTTTTTTTTTGAAAGCTCCAACAGATCTGAATCGTCGGTTTAAAATGGGTAAATGACTCATTGAATAAAATCTATGATGGAATCTACATCACCATGTAAAAAGAAAAGCAAAGAGAAAGATCTTAGAGGAAGTAGATTTGGCAGGTCACTTTCTATAAAAATACCACGTAGACGGATGGAAAACTTACAGTCGACAACAGAGGTTATAAATTCATATAATCACAGCTTCAGTATTTTCAGCCAGGATGTTTGTCAACCAGTAATTCCATACCAGAGAAGCTATCATTCCAGGTGAAGGGGAAGATTAACTGTTTATTCTAGCAAAGAGAAATGGGACGTATGTGCTCTACACTCAGGCTTAAACAGCCACTAGTAGGTACCGTTGGACGTGGTGACTCATAACTAAGTTCCAGCACTCGGGAGACTGAAGCAATGGAAACAGGTGTTTGAGGGTAGCCTGGGCTACATATTGAGTTCAAGACCAGCCTAGCTTACATGTGTAGGAAGACCTCCATCTCTCTTTCACACATACACACAGGTGAACAAAATATTGATAGCTATGTAACAAACCTAAGTAAGCATAAAATATAACATATTTTATTTATTTATATACCATAAAAGATAACAATGACTAACACAAAGGACAAGAGGAGTGTCTACCTAAGACATTTAAGATTGATATTTGAGAAGGAAATTGGACAGAGCATTATGAAGATTTTGTCCATTACCCATCTCCCCATCCCCAGAGAAGTTAAACTGGGAACTGTAGACTTCATTAAGCTAGCGTGAATATTAAAATTATACCGTGAACACCAAAAGTTGGAATGCATAATCTATAAGTGAAAAGAATGAATAAAAGAGAATAAAGATCCAAACTCTCAGTGGATCGAAGCAAAGCAATGAGAAAACATGACTGGCAGCAGATGTAGGTTTATTGGTCATCACAGGAGAATCTGGGAAGGGTAGACAGTCTTGCTGGGCACGCTGATAACCCCAGCACTTTGGAGAAGGTACAGGAGAGCAGGAGTTTGAGATCAAGCTGAGCTATTAACATGATTCCCTTTCAAGAAAAGATATTCTCATATTATATAAAAATAAAGAAAAAAATCCATCATAAATATATGAGAGGAGAAATTTGGGGATGAAACAGGCAACATGAAGTATTCTGGGTAAATCTGGGGTCTGTGCCCTGTGAATGTCACCACATGTCCTAGCCTGGACCTTCAACTCAGCATCCTGTAAGGTTTGATTGTCTCAAAGACTTGCAGAAGCCATTTTTAACCACTAAAGAATGAGAGTATCCATTAAAAATTACTCAGGACTCCAGAGCCACAAATTGTTTATGTAAAAATCTACCAAATAGTTAAGAAATAGTTACTATCCATCCTCAATAAATAATTTTAAAGAAAAAGAGATCATTCATCTTGTTCATTTTATCAATTTTGATGACAATATCAGGCAGGTAAAATTAAAAGAGAAATCAATAGTTTATATTCATTTATGAAAGAACCTCCCCCCCAATTCCAAATAAAATATTGGCACACTAAATTTTAAATAAACATGTGGATAAGAAGTCAACAGTAATTTAACATTAGGCAACCTGTTCATTGATTTTATTGTAGCAGATATTTAAAAAGAAAAATAGAATTATCTTAGATATATTTGAGTTAATTATTATTTGTATTCATCACAATATTAGAAGGCCTAAAGCAAGAGCGGGGAAAAAGACACGATAAAGAAATAAAAGCTTGGCTGAGTGGTGGTGCCCACCTTTAATCCCAGCACCTTGAAGACAGAGGCAGGTGGATCTTTGAGTTTGAGGCCAGCCTGGAAAGGAAGGAAGGAAGGAAAGAAGGAAGGGAGGAAGGGAGGAAGAAGAAAGGAAGGCAGGCTACAACAATTGAAGATGAAAGCAAAGACTCGTTCTCCCCTCCCATCCTTCTCTCCCCTCCCCCTCCTCTTCCCCTCTCTTCCCCATCCCTTCTCTCCCCTTCCCTTTGTTCTTCCCTCCATTGTCTTGCTTCTCCTCTTCCCTCTGTCTTCCCTCCTCTCTTTCTCTGTCTAAGCCTTCTGAGCTCCTGCCTCAGCCTCCTGAATGCCAGGATTATGGGTATGTGGTACAAGAAGCCACTAACAAGCTTTCATTTGCATAAGCAACATCACCCACCAAATCCGGGAAGATGTATATAGGTTAAAAAAATCATCAGAATCAACAAAAATCAAAGTTTGCTAAAGATAGTAGATTAAAATTTAATAAGGAAAATTACTAAAACAACAAACAATTTAAATATTCAGTGTAAAAGCATGCTATTTACATCAGAAACTAGTACATAAGAATGACTCTGAAGGGGGAGGGCTTTCGGGGAAGTACAGGTTTTTGAAAGATGTGCAAGAATATACAAGTTAAAGAAGAGATGTGTTCATAACGAGAAAGGACCCAAACTCGCTAAGATGCCATGTTTCCCGGTTCTTTCATAAGAGCAAGGCTACTGCAGTCAAATTCCTAAAAGCAAACATCCAAAGCTCAGGCTACTATTAAAATATAGAACAATAAAGATCTAAATATCGCCACGATAACTTTGAAAAAAATAAAAACAGCATGAGCAGGGCTGGTGAATGACTCAGCAGGTAAAGTCCTTGCTGGCAAACGGGACAACGTGAGCTCTAGTCCTGGACCACAGGGTGGACAAAGAGAAGTGACTCCTGCAGGGTGTCCTCTGCCCTCTGCATGCACACACGTACGAGCCAGAGTGTGTGGCTCTGTCCGCATACAGACAGATGTGACTCGTGGAACAGAAATGGTGTGAGTGATAGCCGTGATGGCAGATCTTTGCCCTGTCAGAAACAAAGACCTAAGCTACGTTTATTCAACCTGTTTAATGCACGTGTGAGAGACACCTGTGCCCTGGCACGCGGGAGGTGGGAGGACACTTTGTGAGCCCGTTCTCTTACCATCGCGCAGGTCCCAGGGTTCTATCTAACCCAGGTTGTTCAGCTTCGTAACAATGGCCTTGGGAACTGAACCATCTCTCCAGCCCAGTCATAGAGCTTCAAAAACCAAAACAGTGTGATGGGAGAAGAAGGACAAATAAAATAGCCCGATGGAGCAGAATAAAGAACCTAGAATACATAGAATGATAGCGTCATAGATTATACATCTGAGGGCAAAGATAAGATGCTTAATTACTGGTGTTCGAACAATTGCCTAGCCATCCGAGAAAAGATGAAATTAGATTCTTATCTTTCACAATGCACGAAAATAACTTCCAGATGGGCTAAAGACTTAAGTGTGAAAAAATTATCAGAATTTTTGAAAGAAATTTTAAGATCTTAATTTTTAATGTCAACCTTAACTTAAGGATGAAATTTAATAAGGAATTTACCAAAATCACACATATATTTACACATGTACTCGCATGCACGCACACACACATGCATGTGCACACGCATGTCAAAGAAAATAACACAACAGTTTTTTTTTAAAAAAATGGAACAGAAGATATGAGAATAAAAAAGACTGAGGCACACTGCCTAAATGACACAGAATCTATATGTACATGTATTATATAGTCAATCTCTCAACAAAGTAAGGAAGTGCAAATTAAAGCCACAGTGAGATACCATTCTACACAGAATAGAAATTCTTAAACTACAGATGTTAATGGTGATTACGGGCGGTGGAAATCCCCGTATGTTGCTGGTGGGAATTAACACCCTGAAAGCCTTTTGGGGAGCAGTGCTGTCGGACACACTAAAGACGAGCACACAGCAGATCACCAGCCATCTCTGCACGTGTGTGCGCAGCACGGTCTTTACCAGTGTGCAGAGGAGGGCACAAAGCTTTGCAATGATCAAGTGAGAAAGGACTCGGATGTCTGCCGGGAGAGGAGAGCAGAATGGCCCTTTTGTCACGCGGCTCTGGTAGGATTGGTTAATGAACACACTGTCACCAGCCCTGGGTCGTCCACGGGGCACTCGCAGCAGCCTGCTGGTAACTGAGAAAATGAGATTCCACGAAGACCTGCGGTGCTGGCAGCAGAGGAACGGCGGCAGTCCTAGCCAAGTGGTGGCATTGTCGCGGTGCGTGCTGTGTTCCCGGGCTGCTCGATGTGTGAGAACGCAGCAGGTCTCACTCACACGCACCCAGTGATGCAGACACACTCGCGGTGGTGGGACGTGTACCCTGCCCTCATTCATGCAGAAATCAGAAAAGGCCACATGTGGCCCGTGTCTCTTAGAGATGTGTATAGATGCTAATGATTCAGGGACAGTACACACCAAGATGGGGGAGTAGGAGGGAGAGATGAGCAGCGAAGCCTCACACATGGGTTTGCTTTTTTTTTTTTTTTTAAGTGGAAGGTCTAGGTATTGGAGAATTGGCTCAGGCCTTCACAGAACTTGCTGCTCTTTTAGAGGACCTGAATTCTGTTCCAGCACCCACATAGCTGCTTACAACCCTCCGTGACTCCAGCTCCATGGGCTCTAGAACCCTCTGTGGCTCCCTTGGGCACCAGCCACACACATAGTGAACTTACATACATGCAGGCCAAAACACTCACACACATAAAATAAAAAATAAATCTTTTGGAAAGAAGGGGGGCTAAATAAACATCTGGAGCAAACTAGACAAAAGTTAGCAATTGCTACACCTCTCGCATCTGGGTGGTGAGTATCCGAATACTGGAAATTATTTTTTATATTTCTGGATGCCAAAATGTAAATTTAGAAACGAGAGACCATGGAAAGATTTAAGCAAAAAGCTGGCACTTTGGTGGAATGAGAAAGCCTAACATGTGCGCTCGTGGTCACCCGAATGTGACAGCAGAGAAACAGCTTAGAACCGGATGCTAAGCTCAGTGTTCATTGCCCACACGACTTTGGACACATTGTCTCATTTCTAAACCTTTGTTTCTTCATTTGAGGACCACGCTATTAGTGCATCCTTGTTGGATCCTAGTGGGGTGTAAGAGATAAAGATCCGTGTCAGACATATACGGTGTCTGCTGAGAGTTGCTGGCATGGTGTCCAGGACAGGGGTGAGCAAATGCGCACAGAAGCCCAGCAACAGTAGCAGCAGCAGCAGCAGCCCCTATGCCTATGCTCACTGCTCTAGTTTAGAACATGCAATGGGACCTTAAGTCTTAGGATAGGGGTGCAGTTTGGTTCACAGGGGCAAAGGCAGCAATGAGAAACCCAGTTATGAGACCCAGGCACACGTCACACAGGAGGAAAACTGGCTTTGCCAGAAGCCGGAAGGATGTTAGGAACCGTTAGATCGCAGTATGGAGCCGCCCTTGACTTTGTAAGAGCTCTTTCAGTGGGTGGACCATTAAGGCCTCCAGGTCTTCTTTCTTCTCTTCTGTTCCCCATCTCCCCCTCCCCTCTGGTAACTTTCCTGTTTCTGTGCACTCAGGAGAGCGTAGGCTGGAAAATGAAAAGGACAACTTTGAAAAGGGAGCTGAAGACAAGTTCATGCTGGACGCCCCGGATTTGGGGCAGCTGATGAAGATCAATGTGGGCCACAACAACAAGGGGGGGTCTGCAGGCTGGTTCCTGTCCAAGGTAGGTCCAGCTGCTGGACCGCAGTCCCTGAGGCATGGGAGGGGAGCGCCTGGCTTTCAGAGGCCTGAATCTGAGCCTAACTTTCCACACTCTAGATTTGCTGCCTCTGCTGTTGTTTAAGTCCACTGGCCAGCCATGCTGCCCTCCTAGAGGCCTACAAGACTGGCCTTGTTAAAGCTTCTAGAATCCACGGGAGGCCTTACCCTTTCTCAGGAGTGGATGTGGGTACAGATAGGAAGGAGGTGGGAGGGGGAGGGAACCGGAGGAGAGGAAGGAGGGGAAACTGCGGTTGGTATGTAAAATAAATAAAAAGTTAAAAATATTCTAAAATCCTAGTTCTCCCATCTTCTCCAGCCAAGGCCTAACATCCTTCAAGGTTCTATCACGAAGCTCCTGACTCTCCTAATTGCTCCGTGTGTGTGTGTGTGTGTGTGTGTGTGAGTGTGTATGTGTGTGAGTGTGTGTGTGTGGTTCCCCTCATCTGTACAAAGCAGAATCCAGCTCCATCGGGCTATATAACAATGATGGAAGTTATTCCAGGACTAAGTGAAAGAATTTGTCACAGAAGACACCCTGTATTGACCTAAACATGCTGGCTTCAAGGCCACGCCCTTAAGTCACTCAGGTGTCCTGAGCCTGTCTGGGAGGAAGTGAGGGCTGTGTAGCCCAGGATCGTCTGAGGCATCTCTGGCCCATCTAGAAAGGATAAACAAGAAATTGCCCCTGTTTGGCCATTTCCTCCTTTCCTCTCCATTTTAGGGGTGTTTTATCATTTTTAGCCTTCACACTGGGAAGTTTTGCCTGGTAAGGTGTGTCTCCGCAGCCACAGAACACAGCTGACTTCACCATGAATAGGCCCCTTCTCTGCACTTAGTCTCCCCTGCAAGGACTCATCAGCCTGGTTCCCTCTTGGCTCTCAGAAGATCTGCTTTCCTTATGGGTTTGTTGGTAGATGGAGAATATTCCTTCCAGATAATGGCTCTTGCTTTCAACATGTGTGTGGGCACAAGCATGTGCACACGTGTGAGCACACACACCCACATCCCCAAACAAACCAACCAACCCCTATGCTAATGCTTTCACCGTTCATCATAGAATACGTCTGTCTGTCTTTCCTGTCTTACTTTATAGCAGGGTCCAAAGGCACATTTTGGAAGGTACTTCCAGCTCTTTGGTATGTTCTAGAAGACAAGACGTTACCAACCCAGTTTATGGTTGTTTTGCTGGGGAGGTTTCAATTATGGCCACCCGCATTTGCCTCCCTGGCAGCTGCTGCTGCTTTCTGATGTGGCCGCCAGGTCCTAGGATTCCTTGGGCCTGGTTTCAGTCCTCAGTTTCCCTCTTGCGTAGACTCTGCTTCTCAACAACAAGGTCGGAAGTCCAACCTTCAGCCGGGAGGAAGCCAACATCTCATGTGTCAGTTTTCAAATCCCCGCCTCCAGTTCTTTCATCCCAGCTCCCTGAGCATACCCCATACACTTCTTGCTTCAATTTTTCTAGAATGCCTCCAAGCAGTGGAGGATTAGTGGCTGAGATTCAAGGAGGGGTGGCTGTCAATCATCCCTGGATGGCTGTATGTGGATTTCCTAGTAGCAGCTGTGCTCTGTGAGCTGCTCTCCTTGAGGCGTGAGGAGACTCAAGAGCATCTTAGAGTATACTCCAACGACTGGATGGGCTGGGAGACGACCAGGTGTGCCCTCAAGGACACTTAAGCACATTCTTTCCTCTTCTCTCCTTCTCAGATTATCATTGAAGATTTTGGGAACAAAAGGAAATATGATTTCCCCCTTAACCGCTGGCTGGCACTGGATGAAGATGATGGCAAAATCCAAAGAGACATCTTAGTGGGCGGAGCTGAGACCACAGGTAGGCTGGAGAGCGGCGAGGCCCCGGCTGGATGTTCTGTCTTTGCCAGAGTTGGTGTCGGAGTCACATCTGTGGGCTGATGACTGTGGTTGGTCAGGTGGGAGCCAGCTGGCTTTGAAGATGGCATCTTTGCTGCCCCAGAAAATGGTCTGGTTTTTTGGGTTGCAGCCGAGGCTGTTGCTATGAAAAGAGACAGGGTAATAGCCCTAGGCATTACTAGCTAAGGGTAGAAGGAACCAAAAGAGGAAGAAAGAAGGGGAATTTGGATCCTGTTACATTTCCTATAATCCTTAGAGCCACCTACAGCGTAGGCATTGTCTTGTTCCCAACTCACGGATGAGAAAACTGAGGCATATTGAAGTTAATGAAGCTGTCCATGCTCACATAGCTAGTTGACGACAGACTCAGTCTGCCTCCTGAAGTCCCCTTACCTCCATAAATCCCACAGAGCACCTCCATCCCTCAGCCCATCTGATATGATCCTTGGGGTTCTAGAAAACTCGTGTGTGCTTTACACACCTGAGAAATTGCTCCTCTGCTGAAGTCCATCCCTCCCTTTGACTGGAGACACAGCCAGGGTTGTGGAATGTAACACGTAGAGCGCAACACAGATTGGCTCCGGGTGGCCCATCTGGAGGCTCTTCAACACAGTTCCTGCCACTTTGCAGCCCTTCCGGCTCCCCCTGCTGCGCCTGCCCGTGATCACCCCGCCCATGACTCACCCTAACACCCATACCTTCTGCTCTTCCCGACATCTTCATCTGCGTGTCTGTCCCCTCTCCTCTCCCTGCCACGTTTGCTGGCACTCTTTTCCTTCTGTCCCAGGGTTTCAGAACAAAGAAAACAGAATTTCTGATGCAAACACGGGTGATCTCTCTTTTTCCTTTTTCCCCTATTTGGGAGTTTACGTAGCCCTCGGTGGTTCTGCTGCCTAATCCCAAGGGCTCATGATGCCTCCTGAGTGATCAGAATGCCGGGTGACCCAACTTGTAGTGCTCCCTCACTCTTCCTCAGCCCAGGAGGGAAGGGAGATGTCAGTGCCCACTCTCAAAAGTTGTGTTTTTTAACGGAAGAACAAGCTAAAAGAACCAGATGGGCCCGATATAAATCTCCATCAATGGACTTGACTATAATAATTAGATTACACATAACAAAATTTATCTAGCAGCTATTAATAATACACACACAGTAATTAACATCAATAATATGTGCTATTCTTAGACGCTCAACTTCCTTCTTCTCTTTGTTTCTCATAATCAGGGCTGACAGGTTCCTAAAATAATAGATGCAGTCCCTCCCTGAACTCATACATACTAACACTCAACACTGGAAAACACAATGAGGTTGTGAGGGGCCCTGGATGTGGTCTGAGTTCGTAGAACATGAGGGAGCACGGGTGTGTGTGGCAGGGAAGTACCGTAGCCAAGATGGAGATGGGAGTGTGCTGACGTGGTCTGCTTTGAACCATCTCTACCTCTCTCTCCACGCCAGCCATAACCTATATTGTCACTGTCTTCACTGGGGATATCCGTGGAGCTGGAACCAAATCGAAAATCTACTTGGTCATGTATGGAGCCAGAGGGAATAAGAACAGTGGGAAGATCTTCCTGGAGGGCGGTGTGTTTGACAGGGGCCGCACGGACATCTTCCACATCGACCTGGCTGTCCTTCTTAGCCCCCTGAGCCGGGTCTCCATCGGGCATGGCAATGTGGGTGTCAACCGAGGCTGGTACTGCGAGAAGGTAAGGAGCCAACGGGTGAGTATTCTTGGGTTCAAATGCATCTTCTTCAACCCTGACGTACAGACTCTGCCCTGCATCCCTGTGATGTCTGCCTTCAGTCGTCAACTACCTCTGGAATTAACTAAAAACCTGAGCCTCTGGGCACACCTGGGAGGGATTTTTTTAGTTACTTGGATCATTTGAGGTAGGAAGACCCATCCTAAATCAAATCTAGGCCACACCTTCTGGTGGCAGCCTTTATAAAGGACAAGGAAGAAGGAAGCTATTTTCTCTTTGTCTGCTTGTCTTCACTCTGGCTAGCAGATCCTTTCCTTTGCTGGCATTAGAGCCTGCCTCTTCGGGATTCCAGTGCATACTGAAGAACAGTTGAGACATCCAGCCTCATGAGATGAGAAACTACTGGATTCTTGGACTTCCTGTTGATTGGTAGACAGGCATTGTTGGACTGGATGAAGCCTGTATGCCACTCTTAAATCCCATTCATATGTGTGTGTGCACACATGTATGTACACACACACACACACACACACACACACATTCATCCCCTCAGTTCTGTTTCTCTAGAGGGCTCTGACCACAACAGTCTTATTTTCTAAATTTTCCTAGCTCTTAAACCAGCTAGTTAAAGAGCACATGATCCCTTGTACAAGATCACGTCCATCTTTTTTGTCTTGTTAGTAGGGGCTTAGGGGAGTGGGGCTGTCCCCAAATACAGCATTGGCTACCTACTGGTTATAGGCAACATGATTGCTGGTGGTGTTTCCCCTTGGCTTATGAAACAATCAACAATAATTTTAGAATATATCTATTTTTATGAGGTAGATTTTTTTCCAGACATATATCAAAATATTTTAGCTACGTTTATTGAAGGATTTACAAAACTACAATAAAGTTCCCGGGCTGGAGAGAAGGCTCAGCAGTCAGCACTCGCTGCTCTTGCAGTATACCTGGATTCGGTTTGGTTCCCAGCACCTACATGAAGACTTACAACTGTCTGTAACTTCACTTCCAGGGATTCTGATGCACCCCTGGCCTCCACAGGGGGCACTTGAAACACGTCAATGCGTGCAGGAAAACACTAACACATAAATGCACATCTTGAGAATCCCCTGAATTCTTGATAATAGTATTCCTGAACTTCGATCTAGATTACTGAGCCAGATTTTCCTAGATTCTGGATAGTTTTCTACATTTAGGTGAGGACATAGGGAACTGCGTATGCGTGTAACAAGCTATGCAGTGCTCTGCCAGTGAGCTGTATCCTCAGTCCTTTTCTTCTTCCTCCCTTCCTCCTCCTCCTCCCCATCCCTCTGTCTCTGGCTCTCCCTGTATCTCTTTCTGTGTGTGAGGCCTTGCACTCACCCTATAGCCCAGGGAAACTCTCCAGCAACTGAGATCACAGGCCAGTGCCACCAGGACTTAACTTGACAGTTCTTGTCCTTAAGGAAGCTTGGGAAGCAGTGATTTGCTTTCAGTGGGAAATGAAGGTTTGTTTTTGTTTTCCCGTTGAAAGTGGAATCAGTGCTCTCCAAAGCAAAGCAAATAAACCCCGACCCCCCTGTGCTTTCTACTCTCTCCCAAACTTTTATTCAGTCTAGTTTTGCACCGATAAAACGCTCGCTGTCTTCATTTTGTGTATTTGTACCATTTCCGCTAGGACAAATTAAACCAAACTCACTCCTGTTTCCCAGGGTAGATGGGAGGAGACAGGATCCAGTGGAAGTAATTCTAGGGGAAGGCACTTGGCTCCTTATTACATTTGAGATATGAACTGATAAGTTTTTATGTGCTTCACCTTTTTCTCCTACAAAAATTCATTGGGTGGTAGAAGCCATTTAGTTCAGATTCACAGATTTTTACGATGCACACGAAGAAATGTGTTGTCCGAAGAGGATGAAATAGAAGAAAAGGTCTGGGACTTGAGCTAGTGAATTGGGGGACAGATGACAGCTACTGCGGAAGACTTCTCTTTAAAATAATTTAAAAAGTACTTTTTATCTGCGGGGAAAAAATAACAAGTCTTGAAAGAGGTGCACTCTATTCACTTGGTGAGAAAGGCAGTGGGAAAAGCATGCTCCTCTGAAGGTCCTACACAGACAGACGCCTGTGCACTGGGTACTGCGGAGGCCGCTAAGCACTGCGAGGGGGTCCCGTCAGTAGGCCTGACACGGGAGACTTGCTGTCCATCTTCCCAGGTGGTGATCCTGTGCCCCTTCACTGGCATCCAGCAGACGTTCCCCTGCAGCAACTGGCTGGACGAGAAGAAGGCCGACGGGCTGATCGAGAGGCAGCTCTATGAGATGGTGTCTCTGAGGAAGAAGCGGCTGAAAAGTAAGTGTGAGGGGCCCAGAATCTGGGGGTCTCTCAGAGAGAAGCTCAGCTCTACACGGTACAGGCCTTGTGCTGTTGCGGACATGACTCCAGCATCCCTAAGCTGAAGGAGCTGCTGTCATGGACACAGGGCTAAGCAGAGTGATTCATCACTAGTTACAGGATGGCAGAGTCAACTCTCCCCCACTACTAAAATGCAGTAAGCCTTTAGGCATTAATAAGACACTAGGGTGCCTTCATATTCACCACTTGCTTAATGGGTTCTAAGAACGGACACAATTGTGTATCATCTCCAGTCCCAATCACTTGATTGCCCCCCCTTCTTCTCTGGCCCTTGGAGTTCCTGAGGTGCCTTGGTCTTTGTTGTAGAATTTCCTTGGTCCCTTTGGGTCTGGACAACTGATCTGAAGAAAGCCGGCACCAACTCTCCCATCTTCATCCAGATTTATGGGCAGAAGGGGCGGACAGATGAGATCCTCCTGAATCCCAACAACAAATGGTTCAAACCGGGCATCATCGAGAAATTTAGGGTAGGAAGTGGTGGACGGGGAGGGGCACAGTAAGAAGAGATGGAGAGGTGCGGGGCGTGAGGATTCCAGTTTTCTACACCTGACTTCGAACCAAGTTTAAAGACAAAAAAGTGCACTGGAGACTTTGGGCTCCCATAGCAGTGACAAATTTGATGCCTTATAGGCAATTTATTGAAAGTCATATAATTTATATCTGGCCCTTCCATCTGAAATGGTCTTGGATGAGGCCCGGGGGGGGGGGGGGAGGGCGCAGAGCAAGTATGAAATGCTTGGAGCAATCAGGAGTGGGGCGAACAGGGGAATTGTGGGCTCAGGGGCTTGGAGCACAGTTTGATTGCTCAACCTGTCTGCATTCAAGCATAAGGACCAACTTTTAAGGGGAAACATAAATTTTGGAGCATTTGAAAGAAAATCCAGCTTTGAACTTTGCGGTATATACACAGAGCAAGTCTTTGCCCTCAGAAGTGCTGCGCCGACCTTTGGGGAGAAGCATCTGTAATTTGCTGCTCTCCTCTTGGAGCACCCCACTGATACCTCTATTCCATCCCTAAGTTCATTGGTCTTTATGTATTTGTCTTCTCTGCCAGACTCGGGCCCCCGGGGAAAGGGCACCGCTGCTGTACTGATCTTTTTGTCTGTCTCGGTGCCCAGTGGACTCCTGGGGCTGTGGCCCTGTGCTAATTTGCAGGGCTGCCATATGAATTTTGTTCCTGGAAGATCTCTTGGCTGGATCCCACTGTGGGTCAGTTATTTTTGTTCAGTTTTGCCAGCCCAGACCGAACGCTAGTTTCACATAGCTGTCTTGGTCCCATGAGCCTCTGGCTACCAGGAGCATGAGAGAATGGAATGTTTGAATATGTTTAAAAGCAAACCCACTCTTACTGGGAAAAAGCAGCCCAAAGGAGCACCCACCTGCCTGTGGTCAGCTATGAGGACAGATGTATTTCCATGACTATATCTGCACAGACCTTTTAATTTCTCTTTGTAGATGGAGCTCCCAGATCTTGGCAGGTTTTATAAAATTCGGGTGTGGCATGATAGGCAGAACCCTGGCTCTGGCTGGCATTTAGAAAAGGTAAGGTGTACCTGGGGTGGGGGCAGGAGGGGCCAGAGCCATCCTCTTTCACGATCGTGTCATATATTTGCCTCTGTGTTTGTTAGGATTGGAGGTGGGAAGAGTAGACATGGACCATGGGGTTTGGGAACAGTTAGGGAGAGGTCTTCCAAAGTAAACGGCGAGAGACACTGCTCAGGTGTCCATGGGTTTGCATCCTGTCCCATCATCTAGGAGCTAGGTGAGCATAGGCTTCTAAGAGACCAGGAAAAGAAAGGGAAGGTTGATCATCTGCCTTCCCCAAGAGTCATAGTGAGGAGATGGCTTGGCCTTGCCTAAGAAGAGATAGCAGACGAGACGTGGTGGTGTACACCTTTAATCCCAGTACTTGGGGAGGGAGCGAGATGCAGATGCAGGCTGAGTTTGAGACCAGCCTGATCTACAAAGCAAGTTGCAGGATTACACAGAGAAACACTGTTTTATAAAACCAAAATAAAATACAGTAATAATGAGAAAGCACAAAATTTAAAAAAAAAATGAGACCATAGAATGAGGATTCCAGGCCATGGGTGGGAATCCCTGGTAGGCCCCCATGCCTACCTCAAGACTTCCTCATTGTAGATGACCCTGATGAATACCCTGAATAAGGATAAGTATAACTTCAACTGCAATCGCTGGCTGGACGCCAACGAGGATGACAACGAGATCGTGAGGGAAATGACCGCAGAAGGCCCAACCGTGCGCAGGATAATGGGGAGTAAGTGTGCAGCTGCTTGCTGTCCTGGGGAGGTGGCAGGGCTTTGCTTCCTGTGGGGGCCTGGAGAGCTTGTCTGCTGTGCACTGTCCACAACTACCCTCTCTGAATGCTGCAGAGGACTAGTTAGGTCCCAGCCTCATGTCTGCTGTGCACGATCCACTCTCTCTGAATGCTGCAGAGGACTAGTTAGGTCCATGTCTGCTGTGCACTGTCCACCCTCTCTGAACGCTGCAGAGGACTAGTTACGTCCCAGACTCAAGACTGGCTGGAAGGATCTGTTCCAGGCTATGATGCTAGAACTCTTCTCTGATGAGTATGATATAGGGGAAAGGAGATGGATAGGTCTTCAAGTTGGGCCACAAGAGACAAGAGTGTGCACTAAACAACAGTTACCCAGGGCCTCCTTGAAACTAAAAGGAATAACTTCTTGATCTTTCAAATTGTGAAATTTGATGAATTCTCTCCACACAATAAGGATGAAGTAAGGCTGGATCTGATTTTTTTTATGACACACTAACCACGAATTTTTATGTTCAAAAGACCTAGCAATAGCCCAAAGTAGAACTGAGAGCAGTTGGTTATAGATATCAGTCCCAGACCAGGCCTTCCACTTATTAGTTCAATGACTATTTATCCTGAGATGTTACCCCTACTTTTGTATATTCAATGATATTTGTTTTGGAAACAAAACTATCATCTCTCTTTACATAAGATGACATCAACTGATCCATCCGATGGAAGCTTCATATAATGCAGAGTTCATTAAGGCAGAAATACATCTGTTCTTGCCTGAACTGTGTGTTTGTGCCAGCACTGTGCCTGCAGGCCTCAGAGAAAGGGTCCTGGGACCTGGTCACAATCTGAGTCCTTCAAACGAGCTCTCACAATCTCAGTTCCTCGGTCTCTTCTCCGGAAGTTACCGAGCACTTTCATCCCTGAGTGTTTTAGAGGAGGGGGTGTCTCTCAAAACTTCTCAACTCACAGCTCTGACCGGCTTTCTCAGAGTGCCTTATTGCATGGAGGACTTGTTGAAGCGCACATTGCTGGGCTCTGGGAGAGAATTTCCAATTCAGCGGGTCTTCATTAGGACCCCAGGGCATGCCTGTCTTAGTTAGGGTTGGTATTGCTGTGAAGACTCACCATGACCAATGCAACTCTTATAAAGCAAGCATCTAATTGGGATGGCTCACTTACAGTTTCAGAGGTTTGATTTATTATCATCAGGATGAGGAGCATGGCAGCATGCAGGCAGATGTGGTGCTGGAGCTGAGAGTCCTACATCTTGCAGGCTTCAGGAAACCAACTGAAGTCACACTGAGGGAAGCTTGAGCATAGAGGCCTCAAAGCCTGCCCCCACAAAGACACACTTCCTCCAATAAGGCCACACCTCCTAATAGTGCCACTTTATTTGGGGACCTTCTTCTTTCAAGCCACCACCACACTTATTCAGCTAATTTTCAGACGATCAGCACTGACCCCAGGTAACCACACTGAAAACCACCACACTAAGGATGCCCCAATTTTCTGCTGTTTTACAGCTTCCAGAACTTTCTTGCTGTTTCTGTACTTGTCTCTTCCACCAGACATCTTGGTTAGATCTTTAAAATCGTCTACAGATTCTCGTTTTCGTGAAGTTATCCAAAGGAAACATCGGCCGGTCCTTAGAATGTCCAAAATGTTCTCTGCACTTTGCCTCAAATGACTCACAACTTTCTCTCAAGAATCCCCTTTTCTGTCATCAGAGACCATGTGTCACTGGGCGGGAACACATTCTCTTGACTCACACTTGCATCTCCAGGCCCTTACTGTAGGTTTTTAGGACCCACGGCCATTGTTGAAGGTAGTTACATCATCTTTTGTTGTCCCGGGACCCTAAGGTAGTAAGTTGACTTACTGGGGCAGCTGTAACAAAACGCTAAACTGTGAACTCGGTAACTTATACAACTGGAATTTATTTCCAAGTAGCTCTGGAAGCTACAATCCAAGATGAAGATGTTTCCAAGGTTCGTGTCTCCTGGCATCTTTCTCCTCCGCTGAGGAGTGGTACTCGTGCCCTCAAGTACTTGTGCCCCCAGAAAGCCTTCTTCTGGTGCCTGCTCGTCTGTGCTTTTGTCTTCCTCTGACAGAGCTGGCAGCATCCTGGATGAGGTCCCACCCACACAGCCTCATTTGACTGTCATTATCTCTTAAAGACTCTGTCATCTCTCAATGGTCTTGGAGATCCTGGGGGTTCGACTCTCAGCAGATGAATTTGGATTTCAAAGCTGTCCATAGGAGGCAATAACTCTTAAAGCATGGGTCAGGGTCAATTTATATTAAATTTCTCATAGTCTTTATTAAATCGCAGATTTGTGGGCCAAACCCCAGCTGTGCTGGTTGAAGTCCCAGGGAGCCATTACTGTGATCAGGTTGACCTGTGGGCAAGTCTTCTGGGATCTGTCTTGATTGTTAATTGATTAGGAACATCCATTGGCTGGTTCTTACTGGAAGAATGAGCAGCAAGCCAGCAAGGACTTGTTTATTCTTTCATTGCTCTTGACTGTGGATATGGTGTACCTGGTTGCTTGAGTTCCTGCCATGGCTTCCCTAAAATAGTGAACTGTGATTGTAAGCCAAACAAGCCCTTTCTTCCCAAAGCTGATTTTATTCGGGTCTTTGTCACAGCAACAGAAACGGGCGCAGGGAGTGTGAACGTTTGCAAGGGCACCCCCTGCCTTCCCAGCCTTCTAGGGACCCGACTCACTTCATCCCATCGTTGAATCCCTCTGACACCTCGTCTCCCATTCCTTCTGGTGTGCCTGGGTTGTTCCATTGTCAGTGTGAGGAGAGGTGTTTGAGAAGCAAACCCACGAGTGATCATCTATGCTGAGGAAAAGCTCTAAAGACAGGCAGAGAATGCGCAGACAAGAGGATAGACAATACGTTCAAGAAACTGCTTGAAGGCAGAACTGCAGGGCATGGTGTGTCAGTGCCATGGAAACCAGCCGTGGTGAGCTTCCTACCTGGGCAGCTGTTGTCCATCCAAGCCAGGGCAAGGACTCTGACAAGAGAGGTCATGGGAGGAGGGCGTTTCCAGACTCCATCTAGGCTATGCATAGAAAACAACTGTGCGTGGAATACAGGATTTTCCTGACTGTAATTTGAGTGTTGTACTCTTAAAGAACCATTTCAGTGAGAAAAAAAATGTAGTGGTTAATATAGGTAGAACAGCTGTCTGTATGTCCTGGCTATAAAGGCAGCTGGATGCCTTCTGCCAGTCTTTGGTGGTTCTTTAGAACCTCTGCAAACTCAAATTCCTTGAACTCACTTATTCTTTTTGGCTCCTGAAATTTTCTCTTGTGCTTAGAGCACACCTCTATCTTCTCTCAGATCACCCGTGGCCTGCACTGTTCACTACCAGTGGGTTGTATCACTACCCAGAGCCAAAGACAATGTCACAGACCTCTAATAGGGAGCAAATAGTGTGTGTGGTTTCCCAGAGAGCCTTTAAGGGAGCGTCTTGCAGTCATGTGCAATGAGTAAATACCAACTTAAAATCGATCCCTAGAGTCTGAAGTTGTGTGTTTCCACTTTACCCCTTGCAAAATAATGGTCAGCCAAATAAGCAATGAACGCACGTCTAGTTGCCTGGGGGCATTGGGGAGTGACTGGGCTGGTTAGAGATGCGGACAAAGCCTGTGCCAACTCACAAGTAATTTCCATCTTGCCTTTCCCTCAGGAGGCACGTGAGATGGCAAAATGAATGAGATTTACTTTTCCCACTGTGATTACACACTCCCGATGAGTGGGCAAGAGTCCGTTGGACTTGAGTGTTGACTACTATCACTGCTCGTTAATCCGATTGAGCCATAATTTTTCAATTAAAGCCCAAGGAGCTCTGGTACTTGCCCATCTGTTTAATGTCTCTCGCTGCTGATGACTAACAATGGAATTATTTTCAATTGTCCACAGATGTCTTGCCAGGCAGAGTCTGGGACCTCCGTGGCTGGTGGGCTCAGAGGGACCCTTACAGAGTAAGGGCTTGTCGGGACCTCCAATGGGACAGACCTTAAAATTCTGGGACATCAGGGATGGGGATCCTCAGGAATGGGATTTCTATGTTTGTTACTGTTTTGCTTTTAGGAATTTTCTAGCAAAATGACTATGAAATTAAGACTAAGTAGCAAATCAGACTGGAACAAGGCTGTGGTTGGGGGCTTTGTTGTTGTCCTGGTTCTCCATGTTGGCACATACCAGCCAATTCTATCCATTCCTCTGGTATCATGTCATATCACTGAGGTCATGTTCCATCTGCTTTCTTCAATGTGACCAAAAAACTGAGGTCAACAAGTTAAGGAAGGAAGTGTTTCTTTTGGCCATCATTCTCAGAGGGTTTAGTCCATGGGTATTACTGGGCGTGTAGGGAAGCAGACCATCATGGCAGGGAGAATGTGGCAAACTGAAGCCACATAGAAACTAAGAAGCATCACAACAGAGAGGTAGAGATGGAGAAGAAAGGAGAAAGGACAAAATATGGCCTCCAAAGCCTGCCTCCTAAGATCGCCTTCTTCCAGTAGGCCTCACCTCACAAATTTTCTACCACCTCAGCAACCTAAGGTAGGAATCCATGAATGGATTAATCACGAGGCCAGAGTCCCTCTGAATAGCACTGGGGAGCAAGCTTTCAACACATGAGATTTTGAGGGCGGGGCACATAAGATCCAGACTCTAACATAGCAACACAACGATGCTTATACGAAGAAACGTAGCACTTGAATTTTGAAAGTTTCCTGAGGGAGCCGGGGATGGTTTAATTCTGAGACATGTGATACTATGGGGAGGTAATGTTGGGGGCAAGCAGGGTTTTCATGAACTTCAACCCATGTGTTAAGTGTCTGCCTGCCTCTGTTTTGCTCAAGGCGGGCCTCCATGCACAATGTTTCTTTGCCTTCGGCAGAGATACCACATCGTCATGGACCTACAGGATCCACAGATTGATTTTTCAGATGCCTCTATATGGA